AAAAAATGGGTTAGATTAAAAATGACTCCATAGGTTCCATCTATTCTAACAAAAAAATATTTCCAATTAAATGGCAAAAGAGGAGTCTTACCTTCTGCTTACGGTGGCAACAGAAGACTCCAGTAAATCTACCACACCACTGCGGCAGCGTGTCCGTCAGCGGGGGGCCACAGTGTGTTAGCAGGGGCTTTAGATATCTGTATCCTCATTAAGGCATTAAGCAAGGCCATTATTACAGATACAAATGCTTATATATATAGTGAGACGTATTATAAAAGAGTAACAGCTCAAAAAGCTTTTAGGAATCAGCAAAATGATGTCAGCTGGTTTACACAGATTAATGTCAGTGATCTGACAGATCATTTGTAAACAATGTTAAGTAGGAGGAGGGTTTCCATTTTAGCTGTGGATTTCAATGAAGAACATCGGATCTCAGTTCACTATCTTCAAATAAGAAGGAAAGATTCAATTATTTATGAGCAACAATTTAGGAATGCAGAGCCCAAATAAAAAAAGTACAGTAGCTTTTATTCTGAACATGTGACACCATTTGATAGAATGCACTCCTCATGTCATTATTAATGTACCATTCATTTAAAACAAGCTTTGCACCTCAAAACAACCTCATTACAACCCAAATCTTCACTGTATCATACTAAGATTTTAGGAGGTACCTCCATTAGTGTCATGAAAAAAGGATCTGAAAAATATGTTATGTGGTTAAGATTTGCAACAAACCATAACAGGAAAACAGAACATGTGAAGAAGAGGATGCTTTGGTGAAGTGAGACCAAAACTTAATGTACCCAAAATCTGGAACGAGCAATCCCCTATGTGAAACACAGAGGTGGCTGCATCATGCCGAGGGGATGTTTTTCCTGGAACAGGTTAGCTTGTCAGAATTTAAGAGAAGATTGTTGGAATTATGTACAGGGCAGTACGAAAAGAAAACCTGTAAGAAACTCCAAATGCTCACCTTCCATGAGGCCAAGGTCCCTAAACTCATGGATTTACGCACATATATTACCTGCTGTAAAATAGGCCGACTTGGTGTTTTTCCAATAAATTCAACTGGCAATGCGATTTTTCCTCCATCAGTCTAGGAATCAACTGTCAGCATATGACAGCTGTTATAAGCTTCTTTTTATTTTGAGGAGTTTAACTCTGCGGTGCAGCTATAGGCTTTTAATAAGTGGATTCTTTGCAAACATTTAAAAAGGAAACTAAGTCAGGTTATATATAAGGGCACCCTACAAAATCCTTTTAATATATTTGGAGACAGTTATATCTAATATCAAAGAAATGTATCAAATATGAATAGGCAATAGCTTTCGATGTTTTTTCTGCAAAATAAACCCATATTTATTGTCTGTAAACCAGTTTAAATCTAAAAGAAGAGAAACATATTAGGTGCAAATAAGTAACAATTGTTAGTATTCAAAAGGAAAGGTTTTTCTACCTCAGATAAATACAGTACTTGGTGTTTTCCTGGTGGGTAAGGTGAGAGTGAACTGCATGGTTTTAATCACTGGTGGTTCTGCAAAGGGGATTAAAATAGCGTTAAAAGTTACAAATCATACATTCAGTTATCCTCAACATAATGATGAAACTCAGAACAGTCAACAATGAGCTCACGTTTGTTTGTCCAACAAACAAACACATTTTATGCAAAAGTGAGAGCAGAAAAAGATCAAGGATAATGTTCTCTGGACAGATGAGAGTAAAACTTTGCAGAGGAGGGGCGGGTAACTAAAAATGTAAAATCCAAACATAAAATAATAATAAAATTAATAATAAAAATAAACAATTGCTCAGCTGGATTGAAAGGCACAAGCTCTTTCTGCATCTTCTCCCATTAATGATGGGTTTCCTCCAGCTAGTCCTGCTTCCTTCCATAGTTCAAAAATAGGATCATTTATTAATTCAAGACATCTTTAGGTATGAATGCATGCATGGTTGTATTCTATAAGTGTCTTCGACATGTTATGGACCGACCTATCGCTCAAAGACCAATAAACAAGCTAATGCAAAGAAAGGAGACCCTTCCTTCCACTTCAGAACTGTGGGCTAAAGCTTGCTGGTAAAGCAGCTAATAAAATACTCTGAACTTCATTTAGAACACACTGTGCGCTCTGTCTACTTTGGCTTTAAACTACAATCTTGTCATAACCTCTTGGTTTAAAATAGAAACAGCACATTTTACTGTTATGCTAAAAAGATGAACATCTTTGCAGCTACACGGAGGAGGCCATTTCTTTTATGAAGTCATTAAGAGCCGGTGGCCCTTCTGACAAGGAATAGAGCTTAAAATTAGTCATTCCAGCACCAGGTTCTTTTGTTATGTTTCATTTAGAACTCCAAGGGTTTGAAATATTTAATTTCACACAGATGCAATAACTTCTATAAATTCAGATGTAGAAAAAACATAAATTTAATTTTGTTGCAGGAAATCAAATTATTATATACTTTGAGTGAAGCAAAAAAAAACGAAAAGAAAAACAGGTCACAATTACTGTTGAAGAATGGCTATGAAGCAGTGCAGAGAGTCACCTCACAGACCAGCGAAGAGAATGACTGCAGACAGAAATGATCTATTATGTTGAGGAAGGAAATCAACATGCTTCAGGCTAATGCATAATAAAAATTACACCCTGCGATAAGACTCTAAAACCTCTCTAATCAGGGCAGTTAGTGACAGCATATTCCATTAAACACTTGATCCAGGATCCCCTTTATTACAACTCCTTAAATATGACAGCACACTCATTAGCCTTTAGCTGTAAAAGGACTAACAGTTCTAATTATTAGCTACTTTCCAATAAGAGTTAAGGCTTTGTTCTGGCTGTTTCTTTTGAAAGAGAGACAAAAATCACGCTTCGCCCATCTCATCCTAACTGAATAAACGCAGCAGATCTACCTTTGCGTGTGTGATGGATAATGGGGGAAGTAAAAGTGCACAATGCCCTGACTTAGAACAGAAGCAAATACAAATGTAAGAAGGAAATGATCTAATCTGGCTTTGACCTCTGATAAACCTCTGTTAAGGTTATCAGTGATGAGAAAAGGGCTGGGATTATGAGCTTCTTTGTGTTTGCTAACAGGATTCTTTATAAGTGTTTGAAAATAAAGAACAGAAAGAAAACAAAGAGGGTACAGGGAGGAGAAAAGCCTACATGGTGTACTCCTGTATCACACTACAATAATACCGCCCAGCGGATGGTTGTTTTATTGCGGGAGCTGCTCTCCGTTTCATGGCGGTGTCATATTATGTTTACGTATAATGGTGCTGAGAGGTTCTGTGCTGGTAGACGGCTAGCTGCTGTTACAACCATGTCTCTCCCCCTCCTCCCATCCCATATGTCACCTCTCACCATTTTCAAAACTATTATCTTTTCGTTTTCTTAAACTGTTTCATAAAACCAATTCATGTTAATGTTGATATAAGCTGTTCCACAAATAATCTACGATAAACTAAATGTATTAACTGGGTTATTTCTAAATAAAGACAAAAATTCTGACTCAAAGTGGTGACTAACTGTTGAGCAGAAAGGAGAAAAAATATAATTTTTTTCCCTCATAAAAATGATTTTTCTGTTAGAACTAACTCAGTTTCAGTTAGAATGGGATTGCCAAAGATCCTGCATTTAATGAGATTGTGGACTTTGGGCCATTTTAACAATATGCTTTCTAAACTGGCTGGACAAGAGCTTCAGTTGTTTTACAGCCTATAAACATCTTCTCTGATGGTTTGGCTAATGCCCTTTTAGAACACTTTCTATTTTTTATTTATTACATATGTTACAAACGTTTTGATCATGGTTTCATAGTAGAAACACTATAAAATGTTTAGAAGTTTATGGCTAAAGCATTTTGGGTTTTTTTTTCTGACTGAGCTCTCTGTGGTAACTGGAGTATAAAGCAGCTGCATTTGGTGACAGCCTTAGAGGGACAAAGTCTGTAAAGGGTTTAAAAATATTTGGGTTGGGTCTGAGTAATATATTCCAGATCTTATCTATAAAAAATGAAAAACAATCCTCCTTCTTTGTTTATAACCTGAATTCCGGACACTGAATAAGAATCATGTCTGGGAAGCAAACAAAATCCAGACAGGCAAACTATCAGTGGTGTCAAAAGTACACACATTTGTTACTTAAGTAGAAGTATAGATACTGCAGTTTATAAACACTCTGGTAAAAGTCGAAGTATCAACTTGTCCTCTTTACTCAAGTAAATGTGTAAAAGTATTAAAACATTTTTTTAAATCAGAAGCAGTGTGAGCAATTTGTGTCCAACCTGACCTTTATATGCTGTTCACTAGCTTGGTCACACACTCCGGTGGGTAGCATCCATGTTTAACCAGTATGTATTGCTAGTCAGCCAATGAGACCACTTCCATGCTCATTGAATATGACTGTACTCTGATTACAGGGGTTTTCTGAATTCCCAAAAATGCATTACCATTGCTTGATCTCACTCCAGCAATGTGACTACCCCGTACATGTTAACACAGTTATCTGATTTCTTTCACTGTCCAACATTTAAATATGTCCAAAGGAAAACAATGCAGCAAGCAAATGAGCAGCTTTATCTACATATTGCTGGGAATCAATCTATGGGGGCTCTCCTAATCTTTGCCTGATGGGAGGTGCTGTCTTTTCTTATTGGACAAAGAAATTAGAAGCAAATCCAGAGGTACTGGCAGACGGATTGTTGTCTCGTTGGGACTCATTACATTTTTCATTAGCCTAAAAAGTTTTATGGAGTTGTCACTTCACTGTGAGTCCATAAATTAGTACCACTCTATTCCTTACTCCAAACATCCACCCAACAAGTATGAAATGTACGAAGTCAGAATTCTGCCAAAAGAGCACATAGTAAAAACTAATACAAGCAGTTTTATTTAAAACACATGGAAGTGGACTGAATATTTGTCTCGGCAGCATTTCACTTTCCTGGGTTGGTTCCACCCTCAAAATGACAAAAGGTCAAACACAGAAACAGGTCAACACATGAGTAAGAGAGAATCTGCAGCCACATAAATCGCAAGCCATGAGCACAGAGAACAAGTATGCAGCCCTGCCTGTGATATACTTGGGTACCTCATGGAGCCAGTCTGGTAAACCACAATTGACTCTGGCCAATTGCATGACTTTCTGATGTGTCACTGCTAGCAGATAAGCCTTTCTGCTTATCTGCT